CCTCAGTGACATCACCCTTGCTGCGCAAGGGGAAGACTGTGGTGTAACGCGAGTAGTCGTCAACCACCAGCAGGAAGTAGCGCTCGTGACCCTGTCCACGGACGCGGGCCGGGCCCCACACGTCCATGTGAAGCGTCTGCAGCGGGGCCTCTGTCGGAGGAAACTGGGAGGAGTGAGGGGCAGCACGCTGCCGCCCCTCGACACAGGGGACGCAGGTAGGGGCAGGCCCCGGAGGAAGGGGAGGGAGGGACCGGGGAAGACCAGAGACAAGGACACGGGAGGCCATGCCTCGGAGACGAGGCAGGGAGGGGTGACCAAGGCGGTGGTGCCAGAGGAGAGTCTCGTGAGACAGGAGGCGACACGAGCAGGGGGCAGACTCAGGACCAGACCTGGACGCTGCAGCAAACACCTGACCCGACGCAGCTGCCTGACCAGACGCAGTGACTGGAGGAGACTCAGTGGTCAGTGTGTACAGGCTCGACCCCGGCCGACGTGTAAACGTGGCCAAGTGTCGGCCCGTCCGAGCGTCCGTGCAGTGGGTCACACGCTGGCTCGCAGGAGTGAACTGGTGAACCCCCGCATCCTGTAGGTCAGCACCACTCACCAAGTTCGTAGAGAACGAGGGGAGGTAAAGACCAGACAGGGTGCCAGAGGGGGCCGCCGGACACGGGAGGACAGTGGAGAAGTGAGCAAGGACAGGACCCCCAGAGGGGTCTGCCAGAGAGACTGCAACTGGCCGACCAAGCGGCGTGAGTGTGGTGCGGTCTCGAAAGAAGGAGCGAGAAGCCCCCGAGTCAAGAGTGAAGGTGTGGGAGGCCGGAGCCGACGCAGTACCTGAGAGAGCAGACTCACCAGCACCTGATGAAGCAGACGCACTGGCACCTAGAGCAGCAGCCTCGCTAGCACCTAGAGCAGCAGCCTCACCAGTACCTACAGCAGCAGTCCCAATGCCCGGGTCGGGCGGAAAACACCAGTAACAGTCACCCTCATCACTAATAGTCACAGCATACATGGCAGCAAGAATAGCATCAAAGTCAAGGTCAAAGATAGCTACTCCCGCCCTAGACAGCTCGCCCCAGCGAGGGATCTCAGTGGCCTCAGGGAACTGGTGACGCCAAGCGTCCGTCAGGCGGCCAAAGCAGCGCTGGGTGGAGTGCGCACCCCCGCACGGCTCACCCGCGCGGTCGCCGGTGCGTAGGACGTAGGTGCACGGACCAGTACCCCCACCCCGCTGGCGTGCAGCGTACCACTCACGAAGCTGCTGAGGGGGGGGGATCTCACGAGTGCGCTGCTGCTGCTGCTGCTGCTGCTGGCGCTGACCACCACCGGAGCCGACCCTCTGCGCAGCGCCACCCCGACCAGCTCCACCTCCTCCACCGCCGCCTCCTCCACCGCCGCCACCTCCGCCACCTCCGCTCCCACCGCCACCGCCGCCGCCGCCTCCGCCTCCACTGCCGCCATCGACGCCCCCACCCCCGCCACCACCCCCACCGCCACCCCCACCCCCTCCGCCGCCTCCACCGCCGCCTCCACCGCCCCCGCTAGCTCCTCCAGCGCCCCTGCCCCCCTTGCCCTTGTCAGTGCGGCGTCTCCCGCTAGGGGCAGACGCCGCACCGACCGACTCAAGACCAACGAGGCCGGCCGCAGCAGCAGAGGCAACAGAGGGCAAGAGAGGAGAGGGGAAGCACCCCTCAAAGACAGGGGCACGAGGGTCACCACGAGAGGCTCCTACATCGACTATGCTCTTCTCTGCTGCTAGGAGGCGCTCCTCGAGGAGGTCAACGGTGAGGGTGGTGGGGTAAACAGAGAGAAAGTGGTCCCTGACCGGGCGAAGGGTGTCAGGGAGCCGGGTGACTACGTAGTAGAGGGTGATGTACATAGAGGGGGGGTTCTTGGCGCAAAACTCAGGAGGAAGGGCAGCGCGGTAGCGAGTGTCACTAGTGCGCAGGTGCGTAATGAGGTCAGCGACTGTGGGAAAAGCGGCGAGGTCAGGGAAGAGGTACGGCAGGATGAGGCGGCTAACTGCAGCAGTGGCAGGGGAAGAGTAGCGTGCAACTACAGCGTCGTACAAGGTCTTAGCACTCTTGTACTGACTAAAGTGTGCACGCTCAGCGGTAGGCAAGTGGCGGCGCACAGCAAGACGGGCAGCAGCGTCGCGTGTGGCCCACTGTGAGCGAACAGTGGCGTCAGCATCAGCAGCAGGGGCAGAAGAGGCACCAGAAGTGAGGTCAAAGAAAGAGAGACCGTCTGCCCTGTCGCACTGTAGGAAAAGCTGCAGGTCATCTACCCAGACGTCAAAGTCAATGGCCCGACCCTCAGCGTCAAAAGCGAGGACACTGGGGGTAGCCATGACAGCAGTAGACTAGCAGCTGGAGCAGTAGGGTAAGGGCAGCGCAGTGGTAGAGGTGCCACTCTTACCGGACAGGGCGGCTCGGGCGGCTCGGCAGCTCGGCGGCTCGGCAGCAACTGCAGCTCGGCGGCTCGGCGACTCGGCGGCTCGGGCGGCTCGGGCGGCTCGGCGGCACGGCGGCTCGGCAACAACTGGAGCTCGGCGGCTCGGCGACTCGGCGGCTCGGGCGGCTCAGGTGGTTCGGCGGCTCGGGTGGCTCGGGCGGCTCGGCAGCAGCGGCGGCTCGGTAGATCGGCGGCTCAGTGGCGCCGGCGGCTCGGTGGTGACGGCGGGGCCGCGTGGGGACGGCGGCGGGGCCGGGTGGGGCGGCGACGAGGCCGCTGAGGGCGGCGGCGGGGCCACGAAGGGTGGCGACCGGCGCCTTAAGGGTGGGGCCGCGGGGTCGCAAGGGTGGGGCGACGGGGCCAGCAGAGGCGGCGCCGGGGCCGGGAAGGGCGGCGCCGGGGCCGGGAAGGGCGGCGCCGGGGCCGGGAAGGGTGGCGCCGGGGCCGCAAGGGTAGGCGACGGGGCCGCGAGGGCGGCGTGGAGGGGTCGCGAGGGCGGCTCGAGGAGGCCGCGAGGGCGGCGCGAAAGGGCCGCGAGGGCGGCGCGAAAGGGCCGCGAGGGCGGCGCGACGCGACGGGACCGCGAGGGCGGCGCGACGGGGTCGCAAGGGCGACGCGACGGGGCCGCTAGGGAGGCGCGACGCGACGGGGCCGCTGAGGCGGCGCGACGGGGTCGTAAGGGCGGCGCGACGGGGCCGTGAGAGGGGAGCGCGACTCGGGCAGAGGCTGAGCGCGCTCCGGGCAAGAAAAAATTGGTGGGCCCTAGGAACAGTTCCCACAGGGGAACCTGCTCTATACCATGTGAAAATGAACGAGGAATGAAAAGACTAAGGGAAAGTTGGGTACAAGTACAAACCCTAGAAAGCTGTACCCCATATGTGCTACACCACTATAGCCTACAGCAGCTAAGTCATATAAATCTGACACATATGATGTATTTTTCTCGAAGCTCATAAGTGTACATGCTGAGAGTTTGATTTGAAGGGAAAATATGCAAATAGTAACTTTTATGAGGCTCAATAACGCTTACAGTAACCTATATATAAGTTTTCACGCGTTTGGTAACTACCTTCACGCTTTTGGTAACTAGATACTGTCAAACGATCACGCAAATGGTAACTAGATGAAACCTTCGCCCGAAATGACTCTGATTCAAGTTTTTCCCGATAGCGCCAAACTAAACCGACGAATCCTCAGGCATCCGGTTCTGACACATTTGTCCAATGTTCAATTTCATACTATTTACGCACAAGTGGCTAGAAAGCAAACATGTTTAAACACAGTTGCTGAAAATATCCGCGCTCTTCCGGAACATTGTTTAGGTATTATTCTATCATACACCAGGTGCGAAAATTATAAACACATTTTGGATGGCATGCGATCCAGAGAGCATCAACCCTAAACGCATTGCGACAAGGCGTTTAGGTTTCTATGGAAACGGCATGCAGTCCGGCATTGGTATTTGTTTTTTCCCTCTTGTACAATTAGACCATTTTGAAATCATTTACACGGTTTTATTTTAATAAAAATTTCGGGAAAATTGAAATCTTACCTTTTAGCTCACTAAAGATTTATGAAATGGCTGAGATTCTGTTCGACCGTGGTAATATATCAACAGCGCGATTGTCGCAAGACGCTGTGGGAGACGTTCAGTAAAAACGATGCGTTATATCTTCCATTCGTGAAATGTATCGACAGGCGGGAGTTTCTTCTAGTTACCATTCGCATGATCACTCGCCTGCGTCTAGTTACCAAACGTGTGAAACGAGTTACCAAACGCGCGAAAATACAAGTATAAGTTACCGTACGCGTTATTGAGTCTTATAAGTGTTACCATTCGCATATTTTCCCTGATTTGAATGGATGAAACCTCGCAACCGCGAGCATTTTCCTGCCTAGCGAGCGGTTCCGATCGGTATTTCAGCTTCCTAGATCGGTCAACGACAAGGTAGAGTGTTGTCCACATGTTAGCTAGGAGGCTCGTGTTGTCCAAGCTTCTCGAGATTTCCAGTTCGGTTTTTTTTCCAGTGTGAACCAGCAGTTCGAAGCGCTTTAGGATGCTCGTTCATCGCTCTCATTATAGATTCTAGTGGCAAAGGTAGGCGCTCCGAAGGTGGCAGTCAGAGGGAATTTGCCGGAGTTTCGTTTTAGGGTTTGATAGGATGGCAATCGTAGTTCCCGAATTTTATTGCCAAAATACGTACGACCAACTGAAATTTCAATCGCTGTAGTCGCAATTCGTCGTCGTGGCGGTCGCAGGCGACATGGAAAGCAACCAAAACGTTCCTCGGCCGCCGACGCCGATGGGTTCATCCACGGGTCAAGCCACGTCAGCAGCACCCACGACAGCACCATCCACGTCAGCGCAAGCTTCGCCAGCAGCGCCAGGAGCACCGGCCCTACCTGGGTCAACGCAATTCAACCAGTTCAACCCTGTCGGATCCAGGCCCTTGGGAACTCCAGCCTTGGCGTATCCAGGCCATAATATCCCCCTGTTTACCGTTCCCCCTGGTGCGCCATGGGTCCCCGCGCCCCTTCCGCGCTTTATGTCCCCCGCATGGGCTGCTTCCCCCTCTTCCGCCTCCGCTTTCCCCCAGGCGGGGGTATACCCTCCGCTAAGACCGTTCTTCGCGCCCATCAGCCCCGCGACCGCCGGAACCGCAGCCTCTTCCGCAACTTCCGCCGCAGTTGGCGCCGCAGCAACTGGCGCAAGCGGCGGCGGAGCGGGAATTGCGGGGCAAGGCGCAGGGGGGCAGGCCACGGGCGGGGAAGGCTTACGGGGGTTTTCCGCCGGTGCTGGATGGACGGGGGCAGGGGGAATCGTTCCCAGGGGCATGCCAGGTGGGTTGGCGCAAGGAACGGCTGGGATTGGGGGAATGGCGCAAGGGATTGCTGGGATGGGCGGAATGGCGCAGGGAACGGGGGGAATGAGGGGAATGACGCAGGGACCCGCGGGGATGGGCGGAATGAGCGTTGGGGGGAAGGCTGGTTCCGCGCTGGTGCTACCCGGAGCTGTACGCGCTACAGCAAGCAGCCCGACTTCTGCTGTTAGCGGAGCAGCTTCTGTCCAGCCTATTACCCCTGTTGCCAAGGCAGGAAGGATAGCAGGGACCATGGGAACAGGTGCCGCAGTAAGGGGAGCAGGAGGAGCAGTGGGAGCAGGGGGGGCAGTTGCAAGGGGTGCTGGCTCAGCCAGTGCTGCGTCTCCTGCAGCTGTTGCTGGTGCTTCTGCTTCTGCAGCTGGTTCTGTCGCTGCTGTTGCTGCTGGCAGTGCTGCTTCTAAGTTACCTGCACCTACTGCTCCCGCGGCTGCAGGTGCTGTAGCAGCAGCCGCTGGTGCTGCCGTTTCCGCTGCTACAGCCGCTAGGCCAGGCACAACAGCAGCAGCGGCGGCAGCTACAGCAATCACAGGTGCACTCGGGGGAGGCGTATCTGTAGCAGGTGCCGCTGCTACATCTGCTGCTGCTAAACCCACTGGTGCTACGGCCGGGGCTGGTATGGGGCATGGCGGTATGGGCCGAGGCGCTATGGGGCAGGGCGGGATGGGGCAGGGCGTTATGGGGCAGGGCGTTATGGGGCAGGGCGGAATGGGGCAGGGCGGAGTGGGGCAGGGCGGTATGGGGCAGGGCGCAGGCGGTGTGGGGCAAGGCGGGATGGGGCAGGGCGGAGTGGGGCAGGCGGGATGGGTGCTGGCGCAGCAGGCTGCTGCCTCTGGGGGCAGGATATTGCCCTCCGCGCAAGGGGCGCAGGGGGGCGTGCAAGGGGCGCAGGGGGGCGTGCAAGGGGCGCAGGGGGGCTTGCAAGGGGCGCAGCAGGCTGCTGCCTTGGGGGGCAGGATGATGGTCTCCGCGCAAGGGGGAGCGCCAGGGGCACAGGGGGGAGTACAAGGGGCGAAAGGGGTGCAGGGGGGCGTGCAAGGGGCGCGGGGGGCCGTGCAAGCGGGAGTGCAGGGGGCGCAGGGGGGGTTACAAGGGACGCAGCAGCAGCAGCAGCAGCAGCAGCTGTTGTTACAGATTCAGAGGCAGAGGCAAATGCAACAGATGCAGCAGCAGTTTCAACAACAACAGCAACAGCAGAAACTGCTGCAACAGCAGCAACAACAACAACAGCAGCAGCAAAAACTGCTGCAGCAGCAGCAGCAACAACAACAGCAACAGCAACAGCAACAGCAACAGCAACAGCAACAGCAACAGCAACAGCAACAGCAACAGCAACAGCAACAGCAACAGCGACAGCAACAGCAAAAGGAGCAACAACAGCAGCAGCAACAGCAGCAACAGTTTCAGCAGCAGCAGCAGCAGCAGCATCAGCAGCAGCAACAGCAACAGTTTAAGCAACAGCAACAGCAACAGCAGCAGCAGCAACCACAACAACAGCAGCAACAACAACAGCAACAGCAGCAAGAACAACAGTATCAGGAGCAACAGCAACAGCAGCAACAGTATCAGCAACAGCAGCAACAGTATCAGCAACAGCAGCAGCTTTTGCTGCTGCAGCAACGTCATCAACAACTCAGGCAGCAGCAACAGAAGCAGCAGCAGCAGCAGCAACAGCAACAGCAACAGCAACAACAGCAGCAGCAGGGTTTGCAGCAGCAGCAGCAGCGGCAATTACAGCAGCAATTGCAGCAACAGCAACAGCAACAGCAACAGGAGCAGCAGCAGCAGCAACAGCAGCAGCAGCAGCAGTTACAGCAACAGCAGCAGTTACAGCAACTACAGCAGCAGCAACAGCAACAACAGGAATTGCCGAAGCAGCAGCAGCAGCAGTTACAGCAACTACAGCAGCAGCAACAGCAGCAACAGGAATTGCCGAAGCACCACCACCAGCAGCAGCAGCAACAGCAGTTGCAAGATTCGCAGCAGCAGCAAGTGTCCGAACAAACAGGCAAGAAAGGCCAGGCAAAGAGGAAGCAAACCGAGAGGCAGAGGAAGAGACAGCAGCAGCAGCAGCAGCAGCAGCAGCAGCAGCAGCAGCAGGAGCAGGGAAAGAAAGAACAGCAACAGCTACCACCAGAGCAGCAGCAGCAGCAGGAGGAAGCATCAAGGAAGGAGCAAGAGGACGAGGCTTGTCAAGTGCAGCCCAACGGGTTCACCAAGGCTCAGCTGACCGTTCTGCGAGCGCAGATATTCGCGTTCAGGCGCCTCAAGGTGTGCAGTGTGTGTGGTGAGGTGATATCCCACTTGAATACTCAGTTGACTTGAAAGTCGCCCCAACTGCTGCCCAGCCCAACGGGTTCACCAAGGCTCAGCTGACCGTTCTGCGAGCGCAGATATTCGCGTTCAGGCGCCTCAAGGTATGCTGTGTCTGGTCTGGGCTGTGGCGAGATGCAGTGACGATTAGGCATCCAATTCCAGTTTCGGGAATCCTCAAAACGTGGGTTAACGTGGTGCTGCTGTGCTGTCTGTAGGCGCTATCCACTGCCAGTTCACTTTCTCACCCATTGAGGTGGTTTTTGAGGCGCCTCAAAAACTACCTCAGTGCTGCTGTGCTGTCTGTAGGCGCTATCCACTGCCAGTTCACTTTCTCACCCATTGAGGTGGTTTTTGAGGCGCCTCAAAAACTACCTCAGTGCTGCTGTAGGCGCTATCCACTGCCAGTTCACTTTCTCACCCCCTCCTTCCCCTTCCCCAACCGTTTCCCCACCTCATCTTCCCCCTTTTCCCGCTCTTTGCTTGCAGCGTGGGGACCTGCAGCTTCCCCCAGAGATTCTCAACTCTATCACTCCTCCCCCTCTGCCGCCCAACCTTAGACGCGCACAGCCTGCTGCCACTTCTGCTGCTATTGCTGGTTCAGCAGCTGTTACCCCTGCAAGTTCAGGTGCTGGTGCTGCTGGCACTGCTGCTGGTGCTGCTGGTATTGTTGCAGCTGCTGTTGCTGCTGCTGGTGGTGGTGCTGCTGGCACTGCTGCTGGTGCTGCTGGTATTGTTGCAGCTGCTGGTATGGGTGTAAAGAACGTGGGGGCAGCAGCAGGAGCAGCAGGAGCTGCTGCTGTAAAGGGGGTGACAGTAGGCGGTGGTCTGCCAGGTGTGAAGGTCGGTCCTGCTGCTGTTCCTGTTACAGCTGGAGCTACATCTGCTGCTGCTGCTGTTGCTGCCGCTGGTGGTGGTAGTGGTGCTGCTGGTGCTGCTGCTGCTGGGTTGATGCAGCAAACAGCACAGCAGCAGCAGAAGCAACAGCCGCAGCAGAAGCAGCGGCAGAAGGATGTTCAGGCACAGGCACAAGCAGCCACCGCTGCACCTGCACCTGCTGCTGCTGCTGCTGCTGCTGCTGCAGCTGCTACTGCTCCTGTTTCGGCCTCTCTTCCTGCTGCTGCTCCTACTGCCGTCACTGCTGCAGCTACAGCTGCTGGTGCGGCTACCACTCCTGCTGCAGCTGCTACAGCTAGTGGTGCTGCTGCTACAGCTGGTTCTGCTGTTCCAGCTGGTGCCGCTGCTACAGCTGGCGCTGCTGTTGCTACCACTGCTGCTGCTGCTGCCGCTGCAGGTAGGGTGATTGGGAGGGGAGGGAGAGTGCTTCTGACAGACGAGGAGAGGAAGCAGCGAAAGGCTGATGCGAAGAAGAGGAGGAGGAAGGAGCTTAGGGAACAGAGGCTGCTGCAGCAGCAGCAGGAGCGGGAAAGAAAGCAGAAGGAAGAGGAGGAGCGGAGGAGGAAGGAGGGGGAGGAAGGTGGGGAGAAGCAGGAGCAGGTGGGGGGAGGGGAGGGGGAGGGGAAGGGGAAGGGGAAGAAGAAAGGGGAGGAGAAGCAGGTGGGAGCGCAGGGAAGGAGTTCTCAAGGGCTTGCTGCTGCGGCCACTTCAGGTATGCAGCAGCAGAAGCAGCAGCAGCAGATGCAGCAGGCACAGACCATTGCTCAGATGAAGGGTCTTGCTGCTGTAACCGCAGCTGCAGCAGCAGCAGCAGCGGGAGCAGCGGGAACAGCAGGTGCCACTGCCACAGGTGTAGGGCCGAATACAGTAGCACAACCTGATTCTTTCACCGGAATTTCTGGTGCTGCTGCTGCTGCTGCTGCTGCTGCCCTGATTTCCTCGAAAGGCACATTGAGGCAGCAGCAAGTGGAAGCGGTGCTGCTGAAGGGCCCTGCTGCTGCGGCTGCAGCTGCTGCTGTTGCTGCGGCTGCTGATGCTGCTGCTGTGGCAATCTTAGCAGGTGGCAGGCCGGGGGAGGTCCGTAAGGGGTTGGCTGCAAAGGGAGGGGCAGCAGCAGCAGCAGCAGCAACAACAGGAGCAGCAGCAGGAAGAGCAGCAGGAGGAGCAGGAGCAGCAGCAGGAGGAGGAGGAGCAGCAGGAGCAGGAGTAGGAACACCCTTGAAAGGCTCAGCCTCAATCCAGCCTGCTTCTGCTGCTGCTGCTGCAGTCCCTTCCATGGCTGCTGCCGGAGCTACAGGTTCGGCAAGAGGTCCGGCCCGAGCCGCTGTGCCCAAGCCTCCAACGCCCCCCCCGCCCCCCACGCCTGCTGCCATTGCTGGCGCGGCAGTGGCTGCTGCTGGGGAGGCGCTAGGGTTTAGAGCCCTTATTCAAGCTGCGATTGCTGAAGGTGTTGCTGGGGGGATGGGGGATGCTGCTGGGGAGGGCAGAGCAGCAGGGGGGGTTGACGCTGGGGGTGTTTCAGGGGGTATTGCTGGGGGTTTTGGAGCAGGGTCGGCTGGGGCGGGTGGTGGGAGAGAGGTTGGAGGTTTTGGAGATCTGATTCGCGCTGCAGTGGGAGGTAAGGAAGGCAGGCCTGGGAGGGTGGGAGCGGCAGCAGCAGCTGAGGAGATAGTTGTGGGTTCTGCGGTAGAGGAGGTGGATGGGCTGGGAGGAGGGGCAGGAGGAGGAGGAGAATTAGGAGGAGAGAGAGAAGGAGGAATGGGAGAGATGGGAGGGGCAGCATCAGCCGGAAGAGCAGCAGGAGCGGCAGGAGCAGCAGCAGGAGAAACAGGGGTTCATGCTGTTCATGCGTCGACTCAGAAAGCGAGGGTGGCCGAGGCGATAGCGCGAATGAGCCAGCAGGAGGTTCGGGCGGCGCTGCGGCAGGTGCGGTTCGGCACGAACCTGCAGGGGCTGGTTCGGGAGGAGGTGGGGCGGATGGTGCGGGCGAACAGGGAGGCTCGGCTGCGGGAGATTGCTAGGCTGCTGGGGGAGGATTATCCTCCTCCTGCTGCTCTGGGTGTTGTGCCTTTTACTCCCAGTGCTGTGCCTCTCACTTTGAGTGATTCAACTCCTCCCCCTGCTGCTGCTCCAAGTGTCATGCCAGACAAGGACCTGCCCCCCCTGCTGCCGCTCACAGGACGGGAGGACGAGCAGGAGGAGGGAGGGGAGGAGGGAGGAGGGGATGGGGTGCGGATAGAGAGATGTAGTGGTGGTGGTGCTGCTGCTGGTGGTGGTGGTGATGCTGGTGATGCCTCTGGGGTCGTGCTGACGCCCAGGGATCGCCTCAAGCTTCGGATTCATCAGAAGATGTTGCGGCTTGCGGACTTTCAGGTGTGTTTTCAGGTGCCCAGGTGGAGTGTTGTTAGGTGCTGCGACTCTATTTGCAGCATCTACTCCAGGTGTTGTTATCAGATCTTCGGAAATTTCTTCCAGTGAGCTGCACTAGCGTAGGAATAGGTTTAAGCAAGTAGGAAAAGAAAAGAGCTTCGGACGGACATGTCCGAAGATCTCTATTTGCAGCATCTATTCCAGGTGTTGTTAGGGTTAGGGTTTCGAGTTTTGGTGCTGCGACTTGTTCGCACGAATTCTTGTGTCTGATCTGATCTCAATTTTGAGAATTCTCAAAAGTTACTTGTGTCTTATCTCATGCAGGCAAAGGTTAGAAGGGAATTGGTGGCAGAAGAGCAGGACATTCAATTCAAGCCATGCCCGACCACCGTTACCTCTCCTTACTCAGCTGAATGTCACTTTCACGCTGGTAAAACCTGTTCTTCCTCCCTATTCCTTCCCTTTCCGTGCTTGGATGATACATTCCATGCAGGCGAAGGTGAGGAGAGAACTGGTGGCAGAGGAGCAGGAGATTCAAGCCATGCCCGACCGCCCCTACCGCTCCTTCCTGCGCTGGGCCCACCGGCAGCGAGCCGAAATCCTTAACCCTTCTTCCCGCTCTACACTTCTCTTCTTGTGCAGGCAAAAGTGAGGAGGGAGTTGGTGGCAGAGGAGCAGGAGATTCAAGCCATGCGCGACTGCCCCTGCCGCTCCTTCCTTCCTGTGGCATGTACATCTCCCACTGTTACAACCTCTCCTTCTTCCCCCCCCCTTCCCCTTTGCCCCGCCACCTCTTCACTGACTGTATGCATGCGAAGGTGAGAAGGGCGTTGGTGGCAGAGGAGCAGGAGATTCAAGCCTTGCCCGACCGCCCCTACCGCTCCTTCCTCCGCTGGGCCCACCGGCAATGACGCAGCAGGTCAAAGCTTCCTCTTCCGCCCCTTTACAATCACCTATCCCTTGCAAGCGAAGGTGAGGAGGGAGTTGGTGGCAGAGGAGCAGGAGATTCAAGCCATGCCCGACCGCCCCTACCGCTCCTTCCTCCGCTGGGCCCACCGGCAACGGGCGGAGATCGCAAGTCCCACGCCGTGACAACCAGCAGGAGGGCACGTCTAACCTCCTGGGCCCACCGGCAACGAGCCGAAATCCTTAACCCTTCGTCCCGCTCTACACTTCTCTTCTTGTGCAGGCAAAGGTGCGCAGGGAACTAGTGGCAGAGGAGCAGGAGATTCAAGCCATGCCCGACCGCCCCTACCGCTCCTTCCTGCGCTGGGCCCACCGGCAACGGGCCGAAATCGCCAAGTCGCACGCCGTGACGCGCCGCGCCGCCCGCGACCGGCTGCTCAAGGCCGTCTTCGCCGCCCGGCGGCAGATCCTCGCCGACCGCCAGTTGGCGGCGCGCGACGGGCGGGCGGCGCGGAACCGGCACGTAGTGAGGTTCCACGAGCAGGCGGCGAGGGAGGCGGCGAGGCGGCGAGAGGAGGAGCGGCAGAAGCGGGTGGAGATGTTACTTAAGAGTAACGACATGGATGCTTATCGGGCTATGCTGGAGGAGGAAAAGGAGAAGGCGGGGGTTGGGAAGGGTGCGAAGGAGAGGTTTGAAATGCTGAGCTCGTTTTTGAGTCAAACGGAGGAGTATTTGCGGAAGCTGGGGGGGAAGATCTGTGCTGCGAAGAGTGTTCAAGAGGTGGAGGAGGCGGCCGTGGCTGCTGCTGCTGAAGCCAGAGAGAAGGTGGGTGTTCTGAGGAGGAAGCGGGTTTGGGGTTTAAGGTTTAGGGAAGCTGGGAGGGAAGATCTGTGCTGCGAAGAGTGTTCAAGAGGTGGAGGAGGCGGCTGTTGCTGCTGCTGCTGAAGCCAGAGAGAAGGTGGGTGTTCTGAGGAGGAAGTGGGTTTGGGGTTTAAGGTCTAGGGAAGCTGGGAGGGAAGATCTGTGCTGCGAAGAGTGTTCAAGAGGTGGAGGAGGCGGCCGTGGCTGCTGCTGCTGAAGCCAGAGAGAAGGTGGGTGTTCTGAGGAGGAAGTGGGTTTGGGGTTTAGGGTCTAGGGAAGCTGGGGGGGAAGATCTGTGCTGCGAAGAGTGTTCAAGAGGTGGAGGAGGCGGCCGTGGCTGCTGCTGCTGAAGCCAGAGAGAAGGTGGGTGTTCTGAGGAGGAAGTGGGTTTGGGGTTTAAGGTCTAGGGAAGCTGGGAGGGAAGATCTGTGCTGCGAAGAGTGTTCAAGAGGTGGAGGAGGCGGCCGTGGCTGCTGCTGCTGAAGCCAGAGAGAAGGTGGGCCCGGGAGAAGGTGAGCCCGGGAGAAGGTGAGCCCGGGAGAAGGTGAGCCTGTCACTGTGTTCTCATCCCACTTCTTTCCCTCTCTCTCACGCAACCATGCCTCTGCTTCCTCATTCTGATTCTCCTCTGCTCTCCCTCTTTTCCCCACAGGGCATGAGCGCGGAGGAGGTGGAGGCGTACGTGCAAAGGGCGGTGGCCAGCTCGTCACACAAGCAACCATGTCCCTGCCTCCTCATTGTAATTCTCCACCCTCCGCCCATCCTTCTCCCACAGGGCATGAGCGCGGAGGAGGTGGAGGCGTACGTGCAAAGGGCGGTGGCCAGCTCGTCACACAAGCAACCATGTCCCTGCCTCCTCATTTTAATTCTCCACCCTCCGCCCATCCTTCTCCCACAGGGCATGAGCGAGGAGGAGGTGGAGGCGTACGTGCAACGAGTGGTGGCCAGCCTGTCTCGCAACGACGGTCCCGAGGGAGATGAGGTTGGAGGAGAGACAGGCGCCGCTGCTGTGTCCAAGTGAGTCGAAACGCTGAAGTGATTCTTGTTTCCTTGTTTGCACCCCTTACTGGGATGTCTCGCAACGAAGGTCCCGAGGGAGATGAGGTTGGAGGGGAGACAGGCGCCGCTGCTGTGTCCAAGTGCGTGAGAATCTGAGGGGTGGCTTCGTTTTTTGTTTGTTTTTTTGTTTGTTATGGAAAAGTGGGGCACTTTTATACTAAAAAGCTGCTAGTGTCGTGGTTGCGTTTTTTTTTTTTTTTTTTTTTTTTTTTTTCTGGTGTGTCTAAAAGTATTGTCTTGGGCATGATGACCACCTGCCTCCTCCCCCTTGCTCAGTCCCCGCTCATCCCCTTCACTATTGTCACATCCATTCAGGTACTACAAGCTGGCTCACTCGGTCTCGGAGACCATCACCCACCAGCCGTCCATGCTGCGCATGGGCACACTGAGAGAGTACCAGATGGTGAGTAGGAGTTGTGCTGGATTTGAGAGTTCCACAAGGCTGTAATTCTGTGGGTGGGGAGACTGAGAGAGTTTTCGAGCGTAAGTTGCTGCAACTTCAACATCTTAATTCTTGAGAATTCTCAGTTTCTTTTTCAGTTTATCAACATTCTGACCTCCGAAGTGTAAATCCATCTTTTCCACTCTCGTTCTCGCTCCCTACCCCCTTCTCTTTTGTATGTAACCATATGTGTAACCCTATCTCTCCTCCCACTCTCCGGTGTAGCCTTATACAGTTATACTCCTTATGCAGGTGGGGCTGCACTGGATGGTATCACTCTACAACAATCGCTGCCACCCTCTCTCTCACCTCCTACTCTCTCCTCTTACTCCCTGTGTAACCCTATATCCCATTGACTGGTAACCAGGTGGGGCTGCAGTGGATGGTATCGCGACGCTCTACAACTATTGCTGACACCCTCTCTCTCACCTCCTACCCTCTATCCTAATCCCTGTGTTGTAACCCTATATCCCATTGATTGGTAACCAGGTGGGGCTGCAGTGGATGGTATCGCTCTACAACTATTGCTGACACCCTCTCTCTCACCTCCTACCCTCTATCCTAATCCCTGTGTTGTAACCCTATATCCCATTGATTGGTAACCAGGTGGGGCTGCAGTGGATGGTATCGCTCTACAACTATTGCTGACACCCTCTCTCTCACCTCCTACCCTCTATCCTAATCCCTGTGTTTTAACCCTATATCCCATTGATTGGTAACCAGGTGGGGCTGCAGTGGATGGTATCGCTCTACAACTATTGCTGACACCCTCTCTCTCACCTCCTACCCTCTATCCTAATCCCTGTGTTGTAACCCTATATCCCATTGATTGGTAACCAGGTGGGGCTGCAGTGGATGGTATCGCTCTACAACTATTGCTGACACCCTCTCTCTCACCTCCTGCTCTCTCTCCTCCTATTCCGTGTGTTGCAACCCAATATCCCATTGACTGGTAACCAGGTGGGGCTACAGTGGATGGTATCGCTCTACAACAACCGCTGACCCTTCTTGCCTTTCCTTCTCTCTCCCTGCCCGTTTCCCTTCTGTGTGTAACCCTATTCCCCCTCCCACTCCCTGGTGGTAACCCTATGCTGCTGGTAACCAGGTGGGGCTGCAGTGGATGGTATCGCTCTACAACAATCGGCTCAACGGCATTCTGGCAGACGAAATGGGCCTGGGGAAGACAGTGCAGGTGGGTGCAGTGCGGTTCTCGTAGGTGCAATGCAACGTGCAATACATTGCGTCCCTCCACTGTTGCTGCCCTCTCTTTTTACTCCTGCCACCTTGCCACCCATCTCCCCCTCACAGGTCATGGCCCTGCTCGCGTATCTCATGGAGCATAAAGGAAACTACGGCCCGCACCTCATCATCGTGCCCAATGCCGTGCTCGTGAACTGGAAGTCAGAGCTGCAACTCCCTTCAACTTCCTCCAACTCCTTTCCACTCCTTCATACCCCCTCACCAGGTGATGGCCTTACTCGCCTACCTGATGGAGCACAAGAGAAACTACGGCCCGCACCTCATCATTGTGCCCAACGCCGTGCTCGTGAACTGGAAGGCGGAGCTCCCTCCCTCCTCTCCACCTCTGTTGCCCCTTGGCACCCTCACCCCTGCTGCTACCCTGCCACTCCTCTGCTCTGCTCCCATCCCCCGCACCAGGTGATGGCGCTGCTGGCATATCTGATGGAGCACAAGAGCAACTACGGCCCGCACCTCATCATCGTGCCCAACGCCGTGCTCGTGAACTGGAAGGCGGAGCTGCAACTCCCTTCAACTTCCTCCAACTCCTTTCCACTCCTTTCATATCCCCTCACCAGGTCATGGCACTCCTTGCATATCTGATGGAGCACAAGAGCAACTACGGCCCGCACCTCATCATCGTTCCCAACGCCGTGTTGGTGAACTGGAAGTCTGAGCTGCACGCCTGGCTGCCCTCCCTCTCCGCTGTCTTCTATGTGGGCGGCAAGGACCAACGCGCCAAGCTCTACACCAAGGTGGGGTGCGGTGGGGTGGGATAAGGATGGGTGTGTTTGAGCTGGTGAACTGGAAATCAGAGCTGCACGCGTGGCTGCCCTCCGTTTCCGCTGTCTTCTATGTGGGAGGCAAGGAGCAGCGCGCCAAGCTGTATACCAAGGTGGGTGAGTTGTGACTCTCTGTGTGTCCATGTGTCTGTGTGACCGCAACGCAGTGTTGGTGATAAGAGCGGAAGGCGGAGCTGCACGCGTGGCTGCCCTCCCTCCCTCTCTGCTGTGTTCCTCATAAGAGGACTTCACTCACTCACAGCAACCGCTCTCCCTCCAATGCTCCCCCTTTTCTGACTCCCAGGAGGTAGCCCCAATGAAGTTCAACGTGCTGGTAACCACATTCGAGTTCATCATGCGGGACAGGGCGCGCCTCTCCCGAGGGGACTGTTAAGGCTGGCTCATACGCACTTCTTCCCCTCCCTTGCTCCCCTCCATTCCCCAGGAGGTAGCCCCAATGAAGTTCAACGTGCTGGTAACCACCTTCGAGTTCATCATGCGGGACCGAGCGCGCCTCTCCAAAGTGGACTGGCGCTACCTGGTGATTGACGAGGCCCACCGCATGAAGGACCGGGATTCTCGGCTGTCACGAGATCTGGACAGATTCAGAGTGCAAAGAAGGCTGCTGCTCACCGGCACTCCCCTCCAGGTGGGTTTGGGGTTTGGGGTTCTAGGGCTTGTCTTGTCTCTCCGGAGTGGAGTGGCGCTACCTGGTGGTTGACGAGGCCCATCGCATGAAGGACCGGGACTCGCGCCTCTCACGGGATCTGGACCGGTTTAGGGTGCAGCGGAGGCTGCTGCTCACTGGCACGCCCCTCCAGGTGGGAAGGGGCTTTAGGGCTTGCATGGGCTGGGTGTCAGGGGTTAGGGTTTAGCATGCAGGGTTTAGGAGTTCTAAGGCCTCTCACGGGATCTGGACCGCTTCAGAGGGCATGGCCGCCTGCTGCTCACCGGAAAGCCATGCATGGCTCACCGGGTAAAGGCTTTAGGGCTCTCTAGGGTTTGGGGTTTTCGGTTCTACGGCCCGTCTCTCCCCATATGCTTTCCCCTGGCTGAACGACCCAAGGGAGCTCTGGTCGCTGCTCAACCTGCTCCTCCCAGACGTGTTTGACTCGATCAAAGCCTTCAGCGATTGGTTCGCATCCCTCTGTCCCACTCCCCAAGACCCCATGCTCTCCTTTCCCCCTTCCCGCATTGTCTCCCCCTGTGTGTGTTGCCCCAACCCAACAGAACGACCTGCGGGAGCTCTGGTCCCTTCTAAATCTGCTTCTCCCAGATGTGTTCGACTCGAGCAAGGTCTTCAACGACTGGTTCGCTCCCCCCTGTCCCACTCCCCCCCACCCCATGCTCTCCTTTCCCCCTTCCCGCATTGTCTCCCCCTGTGTGTGTTGCCCCAACCCAACAGAACGACCTGCGGGAGCTCTGGTCCCCTAAATCTGCTTCTCCCAGATGTGTTCGACTCGAGCAAGGTCTTCAACGACTGGTTCGCTCCCCCCTGTCCCACTCCCCCCCACCCCATGCTCTCCTTTCCCCCTTCCCGCATTGTCTCCCCCTGTGTGCGTTGCGTTCCCCAACAGAATGACCTGCGGGAGCTCTGGTCTCTTCTCAACCTTCTCCTTCCAGACGTGTTTGACTCCAGCAAGGTTTTCAACGACTGGTTTGCTTCCCCTTTCCAAAAGGACACCAAAGGAGGCGGGGGAGGAGGAGGAGCAGGAGGAGGCGGAGGAGCAGGGGGAGCAGCAGCGGATGAGATAGAATGGCTGGAGATTGAAAAGAAAGTGATTGTAATCCATCGTCTACACCAGATTCTCGAACCTTTCATGCTGCGCCGCATGGTGCAAGACGTAGAGGGAAACCTGCCGAAAAAGACCTCTGTGGTGCTCCGCTGCCCGCTCTCTGCTTGCCAAGCCGCGATCTACGACTGGGTCTGAGCCACGGGCACGCTTCGGACCGACCCTGAGCAGGAGGCTCGGCGGGTGGCTGCGGGGAAGAGCAGCGGGAGTACGGTGCAGAGGTATGTGAGGGAGTTTGTGCCGGTGCAGAACAAGTGTATGGAGCTGAGAAAGGTGGTTAACCACCCGTTTCTGACTTACTCTTCTTATGACCTCACTGTTCCTGCCCCTCCTGCTGGTGGTTCTGGTGGCTCTGCTGGTGCTGCTGGTGGTGCTGCTGGTGCGAGTCCTTACGGTGCTTCCGATGCTGGTTACCCTACCGGTCCCTCTTTCTACAGCCCGGATGTGATCGTTCGCACGTGCGGCAAGTTTTATATCTTAGACCGAGTTCTGCTTAAACTGCATCGCACGGGGCACAGGGTGCTACTATTCTCCACCATGACTAAGCTTCTAGACCTCTTAGAAGATTATCTACGGTGGAGGAAGCTTAGCTACTGCCGGATCGACGGATCTACACCGTTGGATGCTCGGGAGGCTGCGATTGGCGAGTTTAACAAGCCCGGGTCGGAGCATTTTGTCTTTTTGCTGAGTATCCGGGCGGCGGGGCGGGGGCTGAATCTGCAGAGTGCGGATACGGTTGTGATATATGATCCTGATCCGAATCCTAAGAATGAGGAGCAGGCTGTTGCACGGGCGCATAGGATAGGGCAGAAGAGAGAGGTGCTGGTGATGTATCTCGAGGCGGTTACAGAGGTTACTGCAGCGCACTGTAAAGAGGATGAGATTGAGAGGAGGGGAGGGGTGGGGGTGGGGGATGGGGAGGGAGGTGTGGGGGGGAGGAGAGAGGGGAGGTGGAGGAAGAGGAAGAGGGAGGATGGGTTGGTGCAATCACCAACGTCTCAGTCAACTGGAGCAGGGAGGGGAGGAGGAAGGGGGGGAAGGGGAAGAGGAAGGGGAGGGGGAAGGGGAGAAGGAAGGGGAGGAGGAAGGGAAGGGGGAGGGCGAGGAGGAGAAAAAGGGGGTGGGGGCGGGTCCTTTGAGTCGACGCAAAAGTCACCGGGCGGATCACGGTACATAGGATCTATAGAGACGCTGGTTCGCACCAAGATTCAGCAGCACAAGATCGAAATGGCTGATGAAGTGATCAACGCAGGCCGGTTCGACCAACGCACGACTCAGGAGGAGCGGCGGATGACTTTAGAAGCTCTGCTGAAGGATGTAGACCGGTTCCAAGAGGCGGTTCCGGCTGTACCCTCCATGCGCGAGGTAAACCGGATGATTGCCCGCGGGGAGGCTGAGCTGGCGCTCTTTGATAGGATGGATGAGGAGGAGGAGTGGCCGGGATTGGTGGAGGAGAACTGTGAGGTGGTGCCTTGGCTGAGGGCGAATTCGAAGCAGGTGGCTGCTGCTGCTGCTACGACTGCCAAGCCTGCACTTCGGAAACGGAGGAAGGCGGCAGGTTCGGAAGAGGGAGGGGCGGAGGGAGGTTCGGCCGAGCCTGTGGAGGTGGAGGGGTGGAAGGAGGGGGAGCAAGTGGGAGGGGAGGAAGAGGAAGAGGAAGAGGAGGAAGGGGAGTTCAAGAGGGGAGGGAGAGGGGGTAGAGGTGTTGACAGGGGGGAGGTGGAGGAGGAGGGAATGATTTTGGGGGATGAGGAATTTGATAGGGGGATTGATGGGGAAGGGGAGGAAGGGGGTGAGGAGGAGGAGGACAAGGCAGGAGCAGAAGGGATGAAGGATAAGAGGATGAAGGGAAGGAAAGAGGAAGAGGAGGGAGAGGATGAGGGTCAAGGAGAGGAGGAGGAGGTAGAAGGGTGGGAGGGTGTGGAGGGAGAGGGGGTAGCAGCAGAGGAGGAGGAAGAGGAGGAGGGAGAAGGAGAGGAGGTTCGTTTGGTGAGAGAGAGTGATGGAGGGGAGGTGGGGGGTGAAGGGGAGGAGGCGGATGAAGGGGAGGAGGAAGGAGTTGAGAAACAGGGTAAGAAGAGGGTGAAGGGGCCAGTAGAGGAGGAGGTAGTTTTGGAAGAGGATGAGGAGGAAGAGGAGGAAGAGGAGGAGGAAGGGATATGGGTGGAGGGTGATAGTGAGAGGCTTGGGAAAGATGGTGGGGAGTTTGCGGGAGTAGGAGTGGGTGTGAAGGAGGGGAGGAAGGGGAGGGGGGGGAGAAGAGGAGGGCGTGGAGGGAAAGAGTTGCGGAAGAAGGGATATGAAAGGAGGTTGAAAGGTAAAGAGACGATGGAAGATGAAGAAAGGGTGGAGGAAGGGGAGATGAGGGGAGATGGGGTGGGAGATACAGAGTTTGGGAAGGATGTAGAAGATTTAACCGGTGAGAGGAAGCGAGGAGGAAAGCAACGCCGTAGGTTTAAGCTGTCCAAGGGAAGTGATGGCAGGTTGAAGCTCCTAAAGGGAGTCGGTGGGGAGCTCAATAAAGGGGATGAGATGGAGGGGAGAGGTGGAGTGGGGGAAGAGGGGAGGGAAGGATTGGCGGGGGTGGGTGGGATAGGAGCGGGAAGGAAAGAGCAAAGGGCTGAGGAGACGGGTAAGAAGGCGAAGGGTGAGCAGGGGAGGGGAGAGCAAGAGAGAGGTGAGCAGGGGAGGGGAGAGCAGGAAAGGGGTGAGCAGGTGAAGGTGCAGGAGCAGAAGAAGAAGCATCGGCACCACCATCACCACCATAGGCACAAGCACAGCAGTGGCCATGGCAAGACGAGTGCAAGTGAGTGGCTGGAGGGAGGGAGAGAGGAGGGGATGATGGACGGAGGAGAGGACAGGATTGGTGGGGAGGAAAGAAAGGAGAGGATGGGTGGGGAGGAGGAGAGGAAAGAGAGGAAGGAGAGGAAGGAGGGGAAGGAGGGGAAGGAGAAGGAGGGGAAGGATGGAAAGGAGAGGCGCAAGGGTATGGGAGGCGAGGGGATTGTCAGGATTCTGGGTGAGGGGCGAGAGGAGAAGGTTGAGAGGGAAGCAGAGAGAGGGAGGGGAGCGGAGGTGGAAATATGGGCGGAGGGTAGATGGGAGAAGAAGAGAGAGAAGGATGCTAAGGAGCAAGTGAAGGAAGGGGGAGAAGCTGGGAGGAAGGAGGGGATGGTGCCTGGGAAGGAGGAAGCGAAGGCGAGGCAGAAAGAGAAAGCGGAGAGGAAGAGAAGGGGTGTTAAAGGGGTGGAGGTTGAGGGATGGGGCGAGGGAGAAAAGGCTGGGGAGATTCGTGTGCTGGGTGGGAGGGTGACTTTTGAGTCGACTCAGGGTGCTTTTGAGTCGACTCAAAAGTCACCCTGGACCGAGGGGGACAAGGCTGGGGAGATTCGTGTGTTGGGTGGGAGGGAAGGGAAGGCAGAGAAGGGAGGGAAGCGAGGGAAGAAGGGAGTGACGGGAGGGGAAGACGGAGGGGAGGAGGGAGGGGAGGAGGGAACAGCTAGGCCGGGAATACAGGTAGAGCCGTTTCGGGTTCCGCGGGTTGTTGCTTCTAAACGCGAGCTGCAGATCGAGAGCAAGTATTATAACGAGTCGAAGGACGAGCCTTATAGCGGGTCGGCTTTTAATGAGTCTCGTGCGGTTCTTGCGAGTCCAAGGGTGAGCAAGAAGAGGAGCGTCGCGAGTCTCGTGACGGGAGAGGAGAAGGAGAGGGGGCAAGATAGGAAAGAGGAAAGGAAGCGAGAAGAGGCAGAGGGTGATGAGGAGGAGGAGGAGAAGAGAGGGAAAGAGAGCAGGTTGGTTCAGGAGCGTGTGAGGGATGAGCAGAGGAAGGAGGGGAAGGTGGTTGAGGAGAAGATAGGAAGAGGAAGAGAAGCGAAGGAAGAGGTTATTGTCAGGGAAGGGGTATGGAAGGGGAGGAGGGGCCTTGAGGTGGATAAGGAAAAGAGTGGTCCTGTTGCTGATGCGGCTGCTGGTGGTGCTGGTGGTGCTGTTGCTGCTGCTACTGCTGGTGTTGGTGGTGTTGGTGCTTCTGCTGCTGCTGCTGCTGGTACGGGGAGGAAGCGAGGAAGAAAGAGGAAGTTGGGGGTGATGGCAGAAGCAGAGGCAGATGCACAGGGAGGGGCGGAAAGGGTGGGAGGCGCGGGAGGGATGGGAGCGGCGAGAGGGGTGGGAAAAGAGGGATTAGAAGAAGGAAGCGAAGTGGAGGGAGTGATGGGGAAGGCTGGGAAGCAGAAGGAAGGCTTGACAGAGTTGACGATAGGAGAGGAGGGAAGAGGAGGATATACTGGAAGGGAGAGGGGTGGAGGAGAGGGAGGAGAAGGAGTGGGAGAAGGAGAAGGAGAGATACGAGGAGAGATTGTGAGAGAGGGGGAAAGGGAGAGAGTGGAAGAGGGGGCAGGTGGAGCAGACGGGGAGGGTGGGGGGATGAAGAGAAGGAGGAGGATTTTGCTGCCTGGGAGGGGTGGAGGGCGCAGGAAGAAGGATAGGCATGATGCTTTGGTAAGTGCGGGTTGGGGTGTGAGGAGGAGCAGGAGCCGCTCAGGCCAACAGCAGAGTGTTGCTGGTATGAAGAAAGAAAAGGAGAGGGAGCGGGAGAGGGAGGAGAGGGAGAGGGAGAGGGAGAGGGAGAACGAGGAGACGGAGAAGGAAGAGAGGAGGAGCAGAAACCGCTCAGGTCACCAGCAGAGTGTTGCTGGTTTGAAGAAAGAAGAGGAGAGGGAGGTGGAGGGGGAGAGGGAGAAGGAGGAGAGGGAGGAGAAGGAGGAGAGGGAGAGGGAGGAGAGGGTGAAGGAAAGGGAGAGAGTGCAAAGAGTGAAGGACAGAGAGCGAGTGTTAACATTAGAGAGAGAGAAGGGGAAGAGGGAGAATCAGCAGCAACATATGAGGGCGAAAGCAGAGGTGGAAGAGGCAGGGGGGATTCTTGCGAAACAGAGTGAGAAACCTTGCAAGAGTGACACTGCTGACAGCAACAGCAGCAGTATCGGTGGCGGAATTAGCAGCAAGGACAGTGAGAAGCGGGGAAGAGACGGCAGCAAAAAGGACACAAGCAGCAGCAGCAGCAACAGCGAAAATGATAGCAGTAGTGGCAGTAGCAGCAGCGACAGCAGCAGCAGTAGTGGTGCTGGCGATAGCAGCAGCGGTGGTGGCCAAATTGGGGAGGGTGAAAGGTTGAGGCATGGTGAAGAGTTAAAGGATGGTGTGAAAATTGGGGATGATGGAGGTGTGGGGATGAGTGGGAGTGGGTATGGTGTTGAGGAAAGGGAGGAGCAATTGAGGAGGGATAAGGGGGAAGGTGGAAAGGAGAGTGACGGAGGAAAAATGAAGGCGAGCGAGGAGAAGGAGCAGAGGGAGGAGAGGGAGGAGATGGAAGAGATGGGAGCAAATGAGAAAGAGTTGGTGGGCAGAGGAGGTGTAGAAGAGTTTCCTAAAGAAGTTTCGGAAGCTTATAGTGATAGGGAAAACTATGCTTATATGGAGGATTCTGAGCGGGAGAGGTTAGAGCGGGGTGTGAATGGTGATAACGTGAAAGGTGGTGAGGTCGAGGCTAAAGTGTTGGATGATGGTTTGGAGGAGGAAGAAGAAGCAAAGGGCAAGATTGATGTGGGAGGAGCAGGAGGATGGAAGGGAGAGGCAGTAGAAGAGGGGAAGGCAGGGAGTGGGGCAGGTGGGGAGAGTCGTGAGACGGAAGAGCAGGAGCAGGAGAGAAAGGAGAGACGTGGAGAGGAGGAACAGGAGGCGAAGGGAGGAAAGAGAGGGGGGAGAGAGGAAGGAGGGGTGGAAAGAGGTAAGAGAGAGCGAGAGGAGGAAGACGAGGGAGTTGGGGAAGGGAGAAGTAAGGAGATCCCGTTTGGATTGAGTGGTGATCGTGGAAAGAAGAAGTATGAGGGCAGGGCGAGTGAGAGGGAGAGTGGAAGGGAAAGTGAGAGGGTGAGTGGGAGGGAGAGCGGGAGGGAGAGCAGGAGGGAGAGCGGGAGGGAGAGTGGGAGGGCTAGGGAGGGGGATGATGGGGTGGTGGTTGAGGGGAAGAGGGTGGTGGAAGTTGGTGAAAGAAGTGAGGAGAGGAGGAGGAGGGAGGAGAGGAGTAGGAGGGAGGAGAGGAGTAGGAGGGAGGAGATTAGAAGTGAGGAGAGGAGGAAGGAGGAGAGGAAGGAGAGAGGCAGAGGAGAGGAGGGGGAGAGAGGCAGAGAGGAGGAGAGGGAGAGAGGCAGAGGGGAGGAGAGGGAGAGAGGCAGAGGGGAGGAGAGGGAGAGAGAGAGAAGAGGGAAGGAAGGAGTGGCGGATAAAAAGGGAGAGGAGAGGGATGAAAGGAGAGAAAGGGAAAGGTCGAGAGGAAGTGAGAAGGAGAGGAAAAGGGAGGTTGAGGAGGAAGAGAAGGTGCGAAAGGAGAGGGAGAGGGAAAGGGGCAGGGAGAGGGAGAGAGAAAGGGGAATGGAGAGAGAAGGGGAGAAAGTGGGGGTGAGGGAGAGGGGGAGGGAAAGGGCCACTGAGAACGAGAGGGCGAGTGGGGAGGAGAGGGAGAGGGAGGGTCGTACTGCTGATTTGGGGAGGGAGAGAGGCAAGCAGGAGCATCGAACTTTGGGGGAGAAAGAGAAAAGCGATGATGTTGGTGAAAGGGAGAGGAAAGAGAGGAGGGAGAGTCGAGAGAGGAGGGAGAATAGGGAGAGAAGGGAGAGTAGGGAGAGTGAGAGGCGAGGAGAGGAAGGGCAGGTGGAAAGGGGAAGGGATGGAGAGTTTGAGAGAAGCAGAGGGGGAGAGAGGAGGGAGAGTGAGAGAAGCGAGGAAACGGGAAGGAGGGTTAGTGCTGAGGGGAGTAGAGACAGCAGAGGGAGGTTAACTGATGCAAAGAAAGAAAAGGAGGACAGGGAGAGCAGGGAACGAGGCAGATTGAGACAAGGGGAGGAGAGGCGTGGAGAAATAGAAATAGGTGGTTCGAAGCGGTATGAGAAGGAGAGGACTGTTGGTGTTTTCCCAAGGCAGGACTCTAAGGGTAGAGAGGAAGGGCAAGAGGAGAGGGGGAGGGGAGGACGGGTGGATGTTCAAGCAGAGGGGGAGGAGGGGAGGAGGAAGAGAGATGTGGAGATTGATGGAGGTAGAGAGAGAGGGAAGGACGGTGGGATGATGATTGGAATAGGCTTGGGGGGTAGAGGTGAGAGGGGAGGGCTTGAGGAGGGTAAGTGGAGTGAGGGAGGTGAGAGGGGAGGAGGTGAGGGAGAAGGGAGGAAGGGAGAGTTGGAAGAGGGTGTGTGGAAGGGGGAGGGGGTGGGAGAAGGGGAGAGGGAGGAAGGGGAGGCGGAGGAAGGGGAGTGGGAGGAGGGAGAGGAGAGAGAGTGGGGAAGAGAGGAGGGATGGGAGGAGGGGAGAGGGGGGGGTGGGGAGAGGGGATGGAGGAAGGGGAGATGAAAGAGGAGGGTGCGATGCAGGTGGGACAGGAGCAATGGCAGGTGAATCGTAATCAACTGGAAGGAAGAGGAGAGAGGATGCAAGAAGGCAGAGGGGAGCGAGGGGGAGAGAGAAACGAGATGTTGGGAGGTGGGAAACGAAAATGGGTGTGGAAGATTCAGGAGGAGACTGTAGTGGGAAGAGAAGGAGAGAGAGATTTGGCTGAACGTTTACCACCACCACCACCACTGCCGCCACCAAGAATGTCCCTTGCTTCTGGCTCTGCTGTTGCTGCTTCTGTTTCTGGTTTTGCTGCCGCTGGTGGTTCTTCTGCTGGTGCTGCTGCTGGTGGTGCTGGTCCTGGTTTCGCTGGGGTGCAACTGTTGCCGCCACCACCCCCACCTCCCGGCCCCCCACCAGAGAGCGCAGTGCGGTTGAGTGCGGTGGGGAGTGGTGAAGGTAGAGGACGAGGAAGGGGGAGGGAAGGAGGGAGGGGAGGAGGGAGGGGGGGAAGGGGGAGAGAGAGAGGAGGGGGGAGGGAGGGAGTGGGGAGGGGAGGGCGAGGGGGGGGGGAGGCAGGAGGGGGGAAGAGGGCAGCGGGGAAGAGGAGGGGAATTTCCTGGAAGGGGAATTTCAACACCAAGGGATTTCCAGGGGAGGGATGAGAGGGACAGGTTCGGTAGCGGTGAGGTTCGGAATGAGAGGTTTGGTGAGGGTGAGGTTTGGGGAGACAGGCCTGGGGGGAATGAGGCTCGGGATGACAGGTTCGGTAACCATCCGGGCTTCAGGCCAGGTTCGGAAGAGGTTAGGGATCCAGGAGGAAGTAGGTTCGGCACAGCAGAAGCAGCACGTGGGGGTGGGGGGATGAAGGAGGGAGGCGGGATGAGGGACGGAAGAGGGATGGGCGAGGGAGGGGGGATGAGAGAGGGAGGAGGGATGAGGGAGGGAAGAGGGATGGGGGAAAGAAGAGAGACGGGTTTTTCTTCCCCCCCACCATTACCGCAACTGCATCCCAATCACCCTTCTGCTTCCTCTCACCAATCCTCTCACCCCACTTCCCTGCCTCTTCATCCTTCCGGACCTATCTCTGGTTCGGCCGGACCTATGCCCCCTTCCGGACCAAGGCATCTCACGGAGCACTCACTCCCCTCCGGACCTCCCACCGGACCTATCCACTCCGGAGGACCTAACCGTTCTGCCGGACCTATGCATCCCGCCGGACCAATCCATTCCGCCGGACCTCCTCGGCCCGGACCTCCGCCGGCTGCCGGGCCTCCTGCCGGGCCTCCTGCGGGGCTTGCGGTTCGGAAATGTGCAGACATGCTAATGCAATTCAACGCCTCTCTGGATAGCAGAGGGCAGAGGATCGGAGATTACTTGTTAGATAAATCGGCAAGTCAAGACAGCGCAAGAAGCGGGGGAGGTGGGGGAAGAGGAGGGAGAGGAGGAGGAAGAGGTGGAGGGAGAGGAGGAGGAGGAAGGGGAGGAGGGGAGATGGAGGGAATGGGGCTGACAATGGGAGGGGTGGAAGAAAGGTTGTTTTCAGGGGGGTACCAATCGGTGGTGCAGGTGTTTGAAGAGGTTCGGATGGTTGTGGAGGGGTACTTGCGATGGCACAAGGGCAACCGAGAGGTGCGTGAGCCATGTCTTTTATCAGCTGGCCGCTAGTCTCCCCAATTGTCCTCTCACACTCTACTCTTCCTTCCTTATCCGCTGCACGTGTGCCCCACAGGTATCAGTGGAGCTGCATCAATTTCTTTGTATCTTCTTCTAGCAGCTAACCGCTGCCTTCCAATCTGCTCACTCTCTGCCTCTCCACTGCCTCCCTCCCTTCTTATTTCTCTGCTTCTATTTCTTTCGGCAGGTATCAGTGGAGCTGCACCATTTCCTCCGCATATTCTTCCAGCAGCTCACCTCTGCCTTCCCCGATGCTGACTGGCTCTCCGTGTCCGCCGGACCTCATACCGGGCCACATCCCGGACCACATCCCGGGCCTCATTCCGGGCCTCATCCCGGACCTCACTCCGGCCCTCACTCCGGACCACATTCCGGACCTCATGGCCCCCCTCACGGTCCTCCAACCCATCCCCCCCATGCCTCACCACATCCCCCTTCCCAAGGCCAACAGCATCCCTCCTCTCACCCATCCCCTCACCCTCCCCCACACATGCTCCACCCGCTCCCCTCCCACTCATCTCCCCATCCCCCTAACCATCCCACTTATCCTCCCCATCCCTCGCATCCCCCACATGCCCCCCATGCACCTGGCCCCCACGGTCCCCATCCTCCCCAGGGGCGCCAGGGTACTCACCATCCTTCCCTCGCCCCCTCCCCCCACCCTCGCAACCACACATCACCCCCCCCGCAGCACTTCCCGCACCCGGATTCAAACAGAGAGGGTTCCCTCCCCCCCCACCCCATGCCTCCCCTCCATGATTCCTCACTCCCCCACTTCTCGTCCCTCCCGCCCCCCCTCTCCACCTCCCACCCTCCCTCCCACCCTTCCTCGCACGCACCCCCTCACCGCCTCTCACTGCCTTCCACCGCTCCCAACCATCCCGGCACCCCTATGCCGCCTCCTAACCGGCAAATGCTGCCTGATAGGCAATCATTTCAGGACCGCCCTCCTCCCACCTCTCACCCTCCGTTTTTAGGGCAGCATGAGCAGCATAATCAGCACAACCTCCCCCAGATGCAGCCTCCACCACACAATCCGAATTTCAACAACCCTCCCTCTCACTTCCCTAGGGCTTCCGGCCCGGGAAGGCAGGGGTTTCCCGAGCCTGCAGGCCCGGGGAGGCAGAGGTTTTCTGAACTGTCAGGTCCAGGACGGCAGGGGTTTTCCGAGCCTGGAGGCCCGGGAAGACATGGTTTTCTGGAGCCGTTGGATGATAGGAGGCACGGATTTCCCGAGCCTCCTCCTCGAGGTATGATGGGAGGTCCTAACGAACCCATGCCTCCGCCGCAGGTTCGGTGGCAGGGAGGTCCGGGAGAAGGCCCAGGACATCCAGGAGGAGGGATGGGAGGAGGGGGAAGAGGTGGGGGGAGAGGCGGAGGGAGAGGGGAAGGGAGAGGTATGGGGAGGGGAGAATTTCCTGGGGCGGAAGGTGGAGGCATGAGGGGGGGGAGGGGAGGAAGGGGAGGAGGTAGAATGGGTCTAGCAGGTAGAGGGAGGGGTGGAGGGGGGAGAGGAGCAAGTGGAGGAGGAAGGGGTGCAGGAGGCAGGGGAGGAGCGGGAGGAGTAGGAGCGACAGTGGCACCAACTGCAGCTGCTGCGGCAGCGGCAGCGGCAGCAGAAGCAGCAATGGCAGTAGCGGCAGCGTCGCAGCAAGCGAGGAGAGGGAATGATGGGGGAGGAGAGGAGAGAGTGGACAGAAGCCCTCCTAGAAGGCGACAGAGGTTGGGCGACTGAAGAATAAAGTTGTTTGTGAACGATGAATTACTGTAGTAGATTTAGATGAAGGTTGACCGAGACACCGCACCTAGTGTTGCAGGGGTTGGTTGTAAGAGATGGCAATGAAGCCCCAATTTGGCTCTGAGGCCAGAAAGAGGGTATGATAGGCAGAAGGTTAGGGAGTGCTTCAGCCACATGAACAAAGATGGCCACTTGCTTGCTCTTATTGAGATTATGGTGATCTAAAGGGGATTTCCGGTTACAAACGTAACAGGTATGGGTGTAGCGGGGATGAATGTGTGGCAAGCCGTGAATGTTCTGCCACGCCAGTCTGACATGGATATTTTGAATCTGCTCATATGCTGAGTAGACCAGTATTTCCGATGGACCCCGTGAAATCTTCGAACCGTGTGCTTCTTGGAGTGTTCATGACGTGGAGACACGTGGTTAACATTCTGTTGCAGGTCATATTACGTGGTTCGGTTTTTACCCAAATCTGCCCATAAAGTTTGTTAATCTGGAGTGCTGCTTTTCTGTCCGCATGAAAATTCCATGAGTGCTGGTGCTTGAGTGCTGGTGCTTGTCGCTCCTCAAGGGCTGGGCAGTCCATCTATGTACCCCAGAAATATGCAGCAAAGGTTGTCTGCATCGTTTCATCCCTCGCTAACGAATAGCAGGTCTTCGATGGTCGACACGTTGCTTATTCGCTGCTGATTCGCTGACTCCACGCCACACTTGGGCGGCGAATCGACGACGCGCGGAAGCACAATCCTTCTCGCTGGTTCGCTCGTTCGCGGCCGCAACTGCGCTCCCGCCACCTCGTTTCGCTGACTACTGTAACGGAGAGTGAGTGGACATAATTCCAGCCAGCACTATATCGAGTACAAACTCGGTTTCTGGTCTCGGCTCCACTCACTAGCCTTCACTATATCCCACGCTCACTCTGCTTACCTACTTACTCTCATGCTGCCTCTGCATTCCTACTCACTCCTTAGCTCGTGCCTCTCGGCCTCGCACACTTTCAAACGCCTCGCGTACTAACTCTTGTCGGTTCTGTGCGGCTACTAGTTGCTCCAACGTACGGTTAGCTGCAGCCAGCGTGGTAGCATCCAAGCGGTGCGTAACGACTCGTTATTGGCAGAGGCTGCGATGGCGCACTCAGTGCGTCTGACCACGATGGTCCCAGCGACGGGAGCTCGCTTCCCGCGGGACGCGCCGCATTTAGAGTTCGCAAGCGGCATTCCCGGCGGCAGATGCGGAACCGTCGATCAATCGCTGCGATGCGTGCGAACGTGTCGTGCGACGGTTGAACCGTCGCATAGCCTACTAGTACGAGCCGCGCTGGGCTGTAACAGCAGCTTCGACAGTTGCGCGACAGAGCTGCGCATGCCACGTGGCAATGTGTGCAGGTGACGAGGGGGTTGGTGATACTAACGAAAACGAGCCCTTCCGCGTCGGCTCCAATAAGAGCGACAGAGCTCTTCGTCAGCCTTCGATGCAGTCACTTTCGTGCGATGCACCGCCAAACAGGGCAGCTAATAACGCGGCGCCGGCGGCGCCGGCGGCTCCGCCTGTCGAAGATGCAACGGCGAGTTCTAGAAGCGGGGGCGGCACGATTCTCGGGGCCGTGGCACTCATTATAGGCACGTCCGTCGGCGCGGGCGTGCTGGCGCTGCCCGCGGAGACTGCTCCCGCGGTAAGCCTGTTGCGCGGGGCGGGGGGGTTATCTGGGGGGGAGAGCGGGATAAGGGGGGATATGGTTAAGGAGGGCGCGGGCGTGCTGGCGCTGCCCGCGGAAACTGCTCCTGCGGTAAGCTTGTTGCGCGGGATGTTGGCGGAAAGGCGAACGGGCCTATGAAGAGGTGAAGTTGACCGCTAAACTCGTATCCTCCTGCATTCCTCCCTCACTCGCGTTTCCTCTTTCCCGTTTCCCATCCCTAACCACCTCTGCCCCCACCTCCCCACCCCCCTTCCCCCCTCCTTCGTCCCCATCCCTTCTCGAATGTATTTTCACAGGGTGTTTTCCCCTCATCGTTCGTGCTAATAGCCTGCTGGGCCTTCATCAAGGAGCGATCCGTTGGCACCCTTGGCAGCAGCACCGCTAGCAGCAACAGCAGCAGCAATAGCTAGACGCGTATCCCCCTGCGACCCTCCCTCACTCCCTTTCCCTCTTTCGTTCCCTCCTCCCCGCCTCCCTCTTCCCCTTCTCCCCCCCACTCTCCCCGCCCATCCCAACTCCATCTCAGGGTGTTTTCCCCTCGTCGTTCGTGCTGATAGCCTGCTGGGCCTTCCTGTGTCTCGAGGCCTTGCTGCTGGCGGAAGTCAACGTCGCCCTCATCAAGGAGCGATCCGTTAGTAGCAGCACCGTCAGTAGCAGCTCCGTTAATAACAGCATGGCTACTAGCAGTACCGTTAGCAGCGGCGGCGGGAGGGGCGGCAGCAGCAGCAGCAGTAGCGGCACCAGCAGCGGCGTCATCAGCAGCAGTTCCGGAGCTGCAGGTTCGGAACCCGAGCCTGAGCGAGGCTCGGACGTCCTGTCCTATCGAACCATGGCCGAGGCGACTCTGGGCCCTGTGGGCGGCACTGTAGCTACAGTAGCATACGTGTTTTTGTCCTTCACTCTTATAGTCGCATATTTCGCAAAGGGAGGGGAAGTTTTGGCGTTTGGCACAGGTCTGCCCAACTGGGTGGGTGCAGTGGGGTTCTTTTCGGTGCTGGGTGGTTTAATCTACAGCGGCAGCACCAGAACAGCGGATATAATTAACCGGGTATTGACAGCCGGTTTGTTGGGGATATTTACCCTGCTGGTCTGTGGAGGAGCAGCAATCGCGGACTGGGATGAGCTGGCAGTCGCTGATTGGTCAGAAATGCCGACCACTCTCCCCGTAATCTTCCTCGCGCTGGTCTTCCACGATTTGATTCCCGTGATCTGCACGTATCTGGACGCGAATCTGGGAAAGATTCGGGCAGCAATCGTGATCGGGAGCGCCGCTCCCCTATCCATGTTTCTAGTATGGGACACCATTGCTCTCTCTATCTCCCCTTCCTCCCTCACTTCTGCCGCTGCTGCCGCCGCTGCTGCTCCTGCCGGTGCCTTTTCCCTCACCTCCCTCTCCTCTGCCATCTCCTCTCTCTCCTCCTCCCTCTCCCACCTCGCCTCCTCCCTCCCCTCCTCCCTCTCCACCGCCCTCTCCACTCCCTCACTCGCTCCCTCACTCACTCCCTCACTCCCTCACTCGCTCTCCACGCCTTTCCAAGACCCTCTGAACCTCCTCCTGCTGCAAGGCTCGCCCCTCCAATCCTCCGTCGTTCTCGCCTTCTCTTTCCTCGCCGTCGCAACATCGTTCCTCGGCACATCGCTAGCCCTAGCAGAATTTTTCATGGAGCAACTGGGATTTATAAGTGCAGGTGACAGGAGGAGGGGTGGAGAGCAGCTAGGGCTGATAAGCGTGGGTGACAAGAGGAGAAACGAGGAGCAACAGGGCCTAATAGACCTGAAGAACCAGGGGAACCAAGCGCAGGAGCAGCAGGAATCCGCAGTTACCGCTGCAGATATCATGGAAACCGGATTAGGGTTCGTGAGGTCGCATGTGAGGGAGGTGGGGGTCTCTGTAGCCAGTATGCAAGACCAGGAGCAGCAGGAGGGTGGAACCAACGGTCTGGATATCAAGGAGGCCGGATTAGGGTTTGTGAGGTCGCATGTGAGGGAGGTTGGGTTTCTTCTGGCCCTCTGCCCGCCTCTGCTGGTGGCTTTGGCAAACCCTGGCGCGTTTGTGGCGGCGAGCAAGGCGGCAGGCGCATACGGCATGACAGTGCTGTATGGGATCATGCCTCCGCTGATGTTCTACGCGCATCACAAGCAGGTGGGTTGTTGTGGCATGTGCGTTTAGCAGGTGGGTTGACTGTGCTTGTGATTGTACCAGAGGCAGCAGGCGCGTACGGCATGACAGTGCTGTATGGGATCATGCCTCCGCTGATGTTTTACGCGCATCACAAGCAGGTGGGTTGAACTTTAGCAATGCATGGGTTCTGATAAGAACACAAGGGAGAAATGAAGGTAGCATGCGATCTAACCACCAGAGATTGCTCAAAGCACCACGAGCGGCTTGGCCCGAGCCGGGAGGGAGGCAGCTTCACTCCCTCGATTCCCTTACCCCCTTTCCCATGTTACTCCCCCCCACCGCAAGCAGGAGGTAGTGGTGTGCCACCCAGCAACCAAGGACTGCTCAAAGCACCACGAGCGGCTTGGCTCGAGCCTGGAGGCAGCTTCGCCCTGGCCAGCATGGGGGCCTGCGCTTTCTCAGACCTTAACCTGGCTGGCTGCATTCCCTCCTTCCACCTTGTCCCAAGCAGGAGGCGGTAGTGTGCGACCCAGCCACCAAGGACTGCACTCAGCACCACCGGTGGCTCGAACCTGGGGGAAGCTTTGCCCTGGCCAGCATGGGGGCCTGTGCTTTCTCCGTCATCGCGGGGCAGGCCCTGCTCGATTCTTCCCTTGGCACGTCATTCCTGTCGTCCCGTGGGGAAGGAGCGTCGTTCGTACTCGCTCAGAGCGACTCGGTACTGGATAGCACCTCGCATTGCGATTCTGTGGTGGATACCAGTAGTCGTGATGAAATCGGCAGCAGTGGCAGTAGCAGTAGCAGCGGCAGCAGAAGCAACAACGACAGCCCCAACAGTCCGAGCAGCAGCAGTGGCTCCAGTGTGGATGCAGCTTCTTGCTCTGATGCAGCAGCAGCTGTAGCAAATAGCCCTGCTGCTGCTGTTGCTGCTAACGCTCGAGCTGTCAACCCTCCGCTAGTGTTTGCGAGCCAATCGGCTCCTGACACATCAGACCTGCAGCTGCCTCTGCCTGACGGTCCAAGTGTTGTTGATATTTGAAACATGTTTTGATGTTGATGACACCTTCATTGTAATCAGTGTTGTCCTTGGTAGTCATTGATTTGTAAGTTGAATGCTTACAATGTACTCAATACCACTAGGTCCCAACCCAAGTCACACATAAGTAGCCTGAAGTGCTTGTACCCAAGACAGGGCCTCAGAATTCAGCTGATTTATGTAAAAAAATGCTGAGATTTCAGACCTTTTTTTCAGGTTGAGGCTGGTTTTTTCAGTCCTTTTCACTTGTACTTTGATTTTCCTGCTTTATTTTTCTCCAGTAAATCACCCACCAGTGCGTCCAGTGAATAATCAGTAGCGAGTTGTTTCTGGTGAGGGTGTGCGTCGTCACAATTGGTCCGGCGTTTCACATGCCACATCCGATTGGTCTGTAAAATCGACATTCTACTGGTGGAAATTCTGTGACGTGGAATTGAAGCCGAATCAGAGGCATCAGAAGCTGCTGGGGAGTGTGAAACATGACTCACACGAGTCAATTTTCCGTCACAGCCAGCGTGGAACTTCGTGTGTCCAGTAACAAAGAGTTGACGGGAACACACCCAACAACGTTGTTATGAGTGACCCTTCATTATCTGAAGAGGTATGACTAGACTCTTATCCTGAACTCTCACTGGATGAGATCAGGTTTGCGTCACCGGCCGAACCTGATTTTATGGCTCTCGTTGGCTGATCAAAGGCTACCACACGAGTTCTCAGCTCACTCCCTGATTGGCTAGCTGACCACACTCGTGTCGTGAACGCCACATTGTTTCTCTTCCGCGCTCCCCCCTCAAACCAACCAAAGCCTACCGCGCGACCAGAGACCTGCCTGCGGTTGACTGTGGTTGAGACCGATGCGGGCTTGCATTTTGAGACAAGCCGGCGCGGGGGCGCAAGTCCACGTCAGGTCTTCCCCCCAGCTTCCCCATCCGCGAGGGGTCATTCCCCCACAATTCGCGCGGGCACTCGTGTGGTTCTGATGTTGGTGCAGTTTTCCGCGCGAAACCGCGTCACCGCTTCTATCCAGCTCCTCTTCTCGACAGTGCTGCTGCGGTTCGAGATTCTAGAATCCGCCGCCGCTGCGCGGATCCGCCCAATCTGCGGAAAAGGTGCTGGTCTGGTCTGGTCCATCAGAAAAAAAATCCCCCTTCCTCCCCCCCCACCCCCCACCTCTCCGCATCTCCTTCCCCCTTCCCCCCCGCCCCCGACCAGCTCCCCCTCGCGCCCACCGCTCGGATCGAGTCGAGTGCCTCCTAGATAGAACGCCAAAATCTGGTTCCTACTATAAATGGAGGCCTAACTTCTGCCTCCGCATTAGAGTCTTTTCCTAGCCCAACCAATCCCGATCATCGCACCGTTTCTTCCTTTCAGCGCTTGAGCCTACCAACCACCCCCTTGTACAGTTCGCTACCTTGCCGCGAACTTATCAAGCTGGAGCTCTGTCGAGCATTAATATTGATCCTGACGTAATCGAACCAGACTCTCCGACCACCCAACACGTCCAATCATGGCTCTTTCCGCTGGAACGACGACAGGTTGCCTGTCAACCGTGCGTGCGCTTAGCAGCGCTGCCACCACAACATGCGCTTCCCACGGCCCCAGCTCGCGACAGCTTTTCGTGCCGCAGGGTTCGCCTCTCAGACTGCCACGTGGCGAAGCCACCGCAGTTTCCGCGATGATCGGAACCGGGCTTGGATCAACTCGAGCTATTTCGTTTAGCTTCGTTAACGTCGAACAACGAGGATTGCCCTCTCTGCAGCAATCCATTCGCCGCCGCCAACTAGCTCCCCGGACTTCACGGCATGAAGTGCGGGCATCCGTCGCAGGAGATAGAAGTGACTGCCCGCGCGAGGACTTATCGAAGGATGCCGTATCTGCGGACCCCCCTGCGTCGCGGAGCGGTGGCGGCACTATCCTTGGTGCGGTCACGCTCATTATTGGCTCGTCCGTCGGCGCGGGCGTGCTTGCCCTGCCATCCGAGACCGCTCCTGCGGTAAGTAAAGACAACCACCGCCCAGGGGGTTGGGGGAAGGAAAAGAGGGGGGGGGCGCGGGGAGTGGGCAGGGTTCGGGTGGGGGGGGAGGGAGGATGGCGAGTGGGGTTGGGGGGCTGAACTGGGTCTTGCTGCTTTTAATGTTCCTCCTGTTCGTTTCGTATCTGACGTATTTTTCTTTCCTTCTGCCCGTGCTTCTGTTTTCTCAGGGTTTCTTCCCCTCGTCCATGGTCCTCATCGGCTGTTGGGCTTTCCTCGTCCTCGAGGCTTTGCTACTTGCGGAAGTCAACGTCGCGCTGCTTAAGGAGCGATCCGATAAGAGCAACACCGCTAACGCGTCTTCGTCATCCGATGCCGAGGCTGAGCGAGGCTCGGACGTCCTCTCCTACCGAACCATGGCCGAGGCGACGCTCGGGCCTCTGGGCGGTACGATCGCAACCGCGGCGTATTTATTCTTGTCGTTTACGCTGATGGTGGCTTATTTCGCCAAGGGCGGCGAAGTGATGTCGTTGGGGACGGATCTGCCACGTTGGCTCGGTGCTTCGGGGTTCGCAGTGGTGCTCGGCGGTTTGATCTACTGTGGAAACACGCGCACCGCTGACCTGGTCAACCGAGCTCTGACCGCCGCCCTGCTTAGTACGAACCGGTCTTTTTGTAATCACACATTGCTATTTACATCGCGTATGTTCATTGTTTTCCGCCAGCCGGTTTGACCCTCTCCACTGTATGACATTCGACGCTCATTTATTTCCACCCGTTTTCGTCCCCTTTTCTTCGTTTGCTTCTTTCGCTCACAGCAATCTTCGCGGCTCTGGTTTGCGGAGGCTCCACGCTGGCCGACTGGGACCAGCTGGGCTTCGCTGATTGGTCCGACATGTCATCCACTCTCCCCGTCATCTTCCTCGCGCTCGTCTTTCACGATCTCGTCCCCGTGCTCTGCGCGTACCTCGACGCGGATCTCAGGAAGATCCGCACCGCGCTCCTCGTCGGCAGCTCCGTGCCGCTCGCCATGTTCCTCACGTGGGACGCGATTGTACTCTCCATCTCGCCGTCCTCCATCGCCGCCGCCGACGCCGCCGGAGCCGCTGCCGGCGCAACCACCGGGGATCTCGCCTCGTCCGTCGCCTCGTCCGTTTCCGCCGTTGGATCGTCGTTCGCGAATCTCGCGTCGTCGTTCCCCACGTCTCTTGCGACCGCGCTCTCAGCCCCCGTGCTTGCCTCTCTCGCGTTCCCCGCGCAGGACCCCTTCCAGCTGTTCATGCACCAGGCCACTCCCCTCCAATCAGCCGCCGTCCTCGCGTTCTCGTTTCTAGCAGTTGCCACGTCATTCCTCGGTTCCTCGCTCGCGCTCTCGGAGTTCTACATGGAGCAGATCGGAAACATGGTTTTTGGCGGGAAAACTGCGGAGGCCGAAGCGGAGGATCAGGAGCAGAAGCAGACCGCGAGTGGTGCTAACGCTGTCGATATTAAGGAGGCCGGGTTAGGGTTCGTGAGGTCGCATGTGAGGGAGGTGGGGTTCCTTCTGGCCCTCTGCCCGCCTCTCGCGGTAGCTCTGGCGAACCCTGGCGCGTTTGTGGCGGCGAGCAAGGCGGCTGGCGCGTACGGCATGACTGTACTGTACGGGATTCTGCCGCCCCTAATGTTCTACATGCATCACAAGCAGAAGGCGGAGAATGAGGCTAGGGCGACAGGTACGTCAGGAGGTTCGTTCTGGGTGCAGCCAGGTGGCAGCCTCGCGTTGGCCAGCATGGGCGGGTTGTCGTGTGCTGTGATTGCGGGTCAGGCGGTGATCGATGCATCTGTGATTTCACCTGGTTCGCTCGCTTCTCCCCAACCGTCGATTGTGTTGGCCCAAGGCGATCGCGATTCCATGGCTGATATTCCCTCTAGAAGCCAACTCACTATCGCAACTATCCGAAGCCCGGTTGCTGCTGGTGCCATCGAACCTCCTCCCCTCGTTTACGCCAGCCAATCACTCGCTGCCAGCTGCATGACCGCCCCTCCAACCTCTGATCTCCAGCACGAGGCGTTCTTGAATCTTCGGGAGTCTGCGTCGACGAACTCCATGCTGACTCCGTTACCCGTTTCGCAATCCTCGCAGTGCCTGACATTCACTATGTCAGACCTCGACGCATTTGATTCGACACAGGAGTCCTTGATTGTGGACATTTGAAGTGGTGGCAGAGTACTGTAGACTCGGGTGCGTAACGGCCTTGTAAGTGGCCTGTTGAATTCGTGTACAGGTAGGCTTCAGCTAGGGGTGGATGGGTTAGAAAAGTCCCACACTGCATTGTAGAGAACAATCTTTGCCTTGTACATATTCTAGTGATTGATTTATCATTATTTTCATATTGTGCAACTAAGGCGTCAATAGTAACCAAGCAGTTCCAGACTGTATTCTGAATCAACAACCAGCAATCAGGGGCTATTTTTGGTTTCACAGCACACTTAAGTATCAGGGTACCTGGGTGACAGCACCCTGACTGCCAGGGTCATGTTTCCTCCACCCTGTCCACACAAGGGTAAAAGTTACAACACACTGTTTCAGAAAGGGTGTTTTCCGGAAGTTTGCCCAATCACCCTGTTTAGGGTGTGGCATGCACTAGAATGGCTATTCTATACCTTCCATTGGATAGCAATGACCAACTACAACTACAACTACACATACAGACAGAGTTACTTACTTCCTACATTGTAGGC